CACACACACACACACACACACACACACACACACACATCTTCATGATTATCATCATCTTCTTCAACATTACCGTTATCATCAACGTCATTACCATCATCATGATCATCAACATTATCACTAATATTGCCATCATCACAATCGTCATGAGAATTTTGGCCTTCATCGTGATTTCAATCACCGTCAACACTTTTCCTATCCATCCTACAGCAGTCGCTGACAGCCACTGACAGCCATCTGACAGCCATCTGGCAAATTTGTGCTATCGATCTAAACTCTTCTTCCCCCTTTATCAAAATTTCCGGCCACATTCCCCCCGATGAAAGGCACTTCCAAGCGATCGAACCGCGCTTACTCACACTAACTTGTGGATACCTGGGGCGTCTTGCTATGGCCGAAATATTCTCTCTCTCTCTCTCTCTCTCTCTCTCTCTCTCTCTCTCTCTCTCTCTCTCTCTCTCTCTCTCTCTCTCTCTCTCTCTCTCTCTCTACTTCCCTTCCTGCCATTCCCCCTAATGTAAGGCACTTGCAAGCGATCAAACTGCGCTTCATTGCACTAATTTGTGGATGCCTCAGGTGTATTGCTATGGCCAGAATACTCTCTCTCTCTCTCTCTCTCTCTCTCTCTCTCTCTCTCTCTCTCTCTCTTTTGTCACTTCCATTCCTGCCATTCTCCCCTCACGATCCTAGAAGCGAACAACAGGCAATTTTGTTTTTGTTTTTAACGGCTTGGGGGTGCTGGTTGGAGGTGAGGGGGCTAGGAACACCCACTGGATTTAGCCACGCCGACGAAGCCTCAAGCCTCCACCCAACAACAACGCTAACCATCCAAAGTACACAAAGCCTCATAGCACCAAGCATGTTTGACTAAATTTACGTTGCACCAAAGCACGTAGCACCAACTCACACCAAATTCACGTTGCACCAAAGCACATTGCACCGAAGCACGTAGCACCGGAGCACCAAGTCGAACCGAACCACGTAGAAGTTTGCTAAGTCGAACCGAACCACGTAGAAGCCTCAAGCCTCCACCCAACAACAAGGCTAACCATCCAAAGTACACAAAGCCTCATAGCACCAAGCATGTTGGACTAAAATTTACGTTGCACCAAAGCACGTAGCACCAACTCACACCAAATTCACGTTGCACCAAAGCACATTGCACCGAACCACGTAGCACCGGAGCACCAAGCACCAAGCACGAAGCACCACTGGTTGACGTAGTGGGGGGGGGGGGGGGGGGGGGGCAGGGCGGGAGAGGCGCACATACACACACACACACAGCGCGGGTCCACTCTGTCGAAATGTGCAAAACGAGAGTGAATCTTCTGCTAGAACATGGAAAGATACACCTCCATGATGTCTTTTCACCAAGTTTCGACAGTTGAGACGCCCGCAGTCCCGGCGGGCTGCGCGGAGCACCTTGCACAGGCCGCCGAGACTCTCTCTCTCTCTCTCTCTCTCTCTCTCTCTCTCTCTCTCTCTCTCTCTCTCTCTCTCTCCCCCCCCCCCCCCCCCGCGAGATTCGGGTTTTCTCAACTTCGTTTGTTTTGTTCTGTTTTGTTCTGTTTTGTTTGTTTTTTGTTTGTTTGTTTGTTTGTTTGTTTGTTTGTTTTTGCTGAAGCGACGGGGCGTTGGCTTGCCCGACCCTCGAAAGTCACGGCGCGTTAACGGCCGCGACTTTGAAAAAAACAACGGGGACGTACTGGTGGTTTAAGTTCTCAATTTCATAAATAGAGTATTTTAAAAATCGACAGATACATCGCATATGTAGACGTCCAGTTGAGTGGAAACAACACACATTACCAAGAAACTGGTACGAATGTAACAATTTTGAGATCAATTAATTTTTATTTTTTTTTATGTGTCATTTACAGATTATGCTTTAGACTAACATTGCTTGAAATTGCTATTATAGCCACGAAATTCCTGAGGAAAGTTTGCACAACAGCAGACAAAGAGGTGATTGAGGAATCTTCTCATAAAATTGACGGACAAAACTGATGCACATCAAAGTTGATGGCACGTAACAATAGAACATGAACACAATGCCATAAAATCTTATAGATTATTACTTATAATAATTGACTTCGGTTATTTTTAGAGTTACATCATATGTCTCACCGCATCTTTCTTCTCTATGCCAAAAAAGAGCATATCATCTTCTTGTCATTGTTCTCATTGTCATCAAAAAGTCTCTCCCCTTCAACATTCCTGTAGGCGTTGAGCAGAGTCTTGTCGTCAATCAATATAAGTCTCTGCTCAATCGATGCGCGTATCAGCTTGCTGGAAGCTTCCATTGACTCAGACTGAATCACAGCACTGATTCGATCTTCCTCCTGACTTGAACCATCATCAATCCTTTCGAGAATCTTTGTCATCACGTGGGTAATCCCAGCAAGAATCAACAATTTTGCTTTAACCTTGGAAAAGATTCCTGATTATCCATGTAAGAAATGTACAATTTGCAACAGAAACCAATAAATGGTTGTTAGAACGATCTAGTAAAATGGTGTGCGGGGTGAGCGGCAGATGACCCAGTCGTCAGGGCACCGGTTGGAAATGCACATTGTGGTCTGAGGTTGTGGGTTGAAAACCCTGCAACCTTGTGCATAGGCCGTCGGCAGGCCATTACTTTGATGGACTATCACTCACACACTGAGTGTGAGAAATGACCAGGGGGCACTGATGTACGTGAGCATCCTCATAGACCTGACCGGGGGTCTACCTGAGAGGGTGCATAGCAGATACTAGCCCTTGCGCACTCCCGGGTGCTCCGGAACGACTGCGCACGCCTCCCCTTGGGTTGCTGGAGGGCATGGCGGGTACAGCTCCAAAAGGAGCAGACTCAGTGGGGATGAGTATGGGAGGAGTGAAGGGTTCACCCCCTTCCTAGCAGCACCCCGTGACTGTGGCATATCTGCCTCCCGACCGGCTGTTTGGATGATGCAGGACCCCGAGTTCGAGGGGGGTGCATGCTGGCACAACGACTTGGTAGCTCCGGTCCAGGCTAAGTCTCCATGGTGTGTTGCAAGGTCTCTCCTCTCCCCCTCTCTGAGAACCCAGGTCTTGATTGATTCCTGAGTGAGTGGGTGGGTCCGCTATGCCGACAAGTGGGCTGAACCCAGCGCATGAAGCACGTGTTGGACTTCCTCCCTGGATCATAACCCCGACACCCCCGCAACTTTTAAAAAATAAAAATAAAAAAATTGGTGCGGTACTACATTGCACATAAGCTGTGTCAAAGACTCAAAGTGTCATTATTTCCAAAGGAGAGGTTTGGAGGAAGATCCGATTGTTTTTTGCTACAGAGCTAAGAACACGAAAGCACTTTTCAACAAGGAAGTTAATATCACCGCCCTTTTATGGAGGAAACACTAGAAAATTTTGTGTATTCAAGTGATTTACTAGATGACCTTGTACAACTTCATCCACAAAAAAAACGAAAAGAAAAAAACCTGAAATGAAAGAAAAAGCATAATAAAATGTCATATCATATGAACTTCTTTCATAATAAGAAAAAAAACTTGACAGCAAACAGAGAAATTCGCTCGCAAAAAAACAGGAGGGAATACTATCCATTTTTTTCCCCTTACCGCAGGTGTTTTGTTTGGGAAGCCGTTACCTTCTTAACATCGTTTTCTGTTTTCTGCTGTGTGAAAGGAACCAGAGTTTCATTCTGAGATATCTAAACGTTTATGAGAAAATGAATGCTAATACCACTATTCCGCTTCTGAGTTTGCTCGCTATCTTTTCTGAATGCAATCAACCAATTTTCTCTGTATGTCATGTGCTTACTGTCGAGTTCTCACTCTGCCTGTGTGCATGCGCATGTGGGTGTGTGAGTCTCAGTGTGGCGGGCCCAGAAGGTTTTATTGACAATTGGCCAGGGGTGTGTGTCAAAAGTCGACTTGAGTTGTAAGAGTTCCAGTGATGTTAAAAGCACGCTTTGTAATGTATGGAGGAAGTAATCATTAACAAATCTGCTTGGCGTTGCTGTTCACGGGAGGGAGTTGTCTGCAGTAGCCTTGTCATGTGAGTCGTAATGCTGGGAGTGCATCTTGGAGCATTTCCTGGAAGTCAAGGCCAAAGAGAAAAACCTGAAGCACGTGTCAGAATCACATAATGGACATCGTGGCAGACTCTCTCTCTCTCTCTCTCTCTCTCTCTCTCTCTCTCTCTCTCTCTCTCTCTCTCCCTCATTTTCGCTCGAGCTCTTCCATCACTTCCTATTCCACCCAACCTCTGCCCTCGTTACTCCATCTCTCTGCCTGACCTCTTCCCTCCCTCCATACTCCACACAACCTCTGCCCTCATTACCCCTTCCCTTTGCCATCCTTTCGCCCAACTTCTTCGTGCCCTTCTCCCTCCCGCCCACCTCCTCTGGACGTCATCCTTCTCTCCACCGAACCTCCTCCGCATATCCCTACTCCTGACCATCTCTCTCCCCTTTCCTCCGTTGCCCAATCTCCGCCTGACCTCCTCTCTCTCTCTCTCTCTCTCTCTCTCTCTCTCTCTCTCTCTCTCTCTCTCTCTCTCTCTC